TCTTCTCCGCTGCCCAGGGTGGCAATTTCTTTCTGGGACTGGGGGTTTTCAAGCTCAACTCCTTCTTCATCTATTGGGGTAAATCTTATTTCCCCAAACAGAATCTATTATAAATGATTGTTCACGAAGAATATATGTTGATCTCTTAGAGATCGTATGAAATCATAAAAACTTCCTCAACTCACAATCGACATATGCTCACTGCGCTCACACCTTCATTTCTTTCACCAGCGATCGGGGGTCTGCGAGGGCCACACGTGTCTCAGAATTCTCCCGGTCTTTAAGACCTTCAAGAAGCCCCGACGCCCCCCGAAAAAGGGTGGGATGGGTGGGCAAGAAAATTTTCCCGCCCAAAGCTTGAGACACGCGCAGCCCAGAACATTCAATCACGTTCTGCAAAGGAAAATTTTCTTTAAATCTCACATGAAAACTCATTCACGAAAATCTCTCACGAAAGGCTGTTCAAAAACTTACGCAAGAAACTATTAGTTAGCTTGCATCATGAGCATTTGAAAACCCGCACGCACTGCGTGCTTCCCAGCCCCAAGGGAAAGAACGTCTAGTCGACACGTCGAAAACGCCCTTCTTTCTGGGACTGGGGGGTTTTCAAGCTCAACTCCTTCTTCATCTATTGGGGTAAATCTTATTTCCCCAAACAGAATCTATTATAAATGATTGTTCACGAAGAATATATGTTGATCTCTTAGAGATCGTATGAAATCATAAAAACTTCCTCAACTCACAATCGACATATGCTCACTGCGCTCACACCTTCATTTCTTTCACCAGCGATCGGGGGTCTGCGAGGGCCACACGTGTCTCAGAATTCTCCCGGTCTTTAAGACCTTCAAGAAGCCCCGACGCCCCTGATCACTGAGGCTCTCTTGAAGGCGCAGAGACACTCAGACAACTCATCTAGCCTGCTGAATCTCTGAACCTTTGATGCTCCCACCGCCGCCATGGCCTCGCTGCCATGACCTCTGGACGGCGCATCTCCAGGATTCGAGAACGAGGGCACTCGGCACACCCACCACATAGATGGGTATTGACTGTCAAGTTCAGAAAACAAACGAGCGAGCTCATGCATAGCCCAGCTTCGACTGGCTCCCTTTATGATGACTGCTCTGGTAGCATCATTATCTATCCACCATATCACGCGTCTGGTAGACAGAAAGGAGTTGAGCTCAAGCATCGTTGCAAGGACTGCAAACATCTCAATTTCACAAATGAGCTGCTCGCCCACCTCAGTTCTCCACTTGTCGAGGACCTTAGCAGGCACCTGGCCCTCATAGACCCAGCCCATGCCTGCAAAGCAGTCGTGAACAGCTACTCCCACACCTGCGATACCAGATTCCCAAGCTCCATCTGTCCACAGATGCACAACATCCGGAATCATGGAGCTGCTCAAGATGCGCGGTGACTCATCACGCAGAAGGCTTACCGTATGCATACAGAAGTCGCTGAGGTCCTTGGGTCCAAAATGTAAACCGCTGGAGATCTTGGCCAAAACATGCGAAGCGTGTTTCAAAGCTCGCCCAGAGTAAAAGCCAGATGCATACTGAAGCAAGCCTTGCAGGACCTGCGCTTCGTGTCGTCGAATCTCGCCCTTGGCCGCAATCTCTTGCATGCGCTCTATGATCCTTTCAATCCGTCCTTGCTTGTTGGCCAAAACAACTTTGCCTTGACCCAAGCTCGAAAGCTGCAACGACATCCCCAGAACATCAAACTCCTCGGCAAAGGGCTTGCCCTTTGCCCCGGTTTTCGCATGGAGCCATCCCAACTCATCCAAAAATGCACTGACAACCGCATCGGCATTGTCAGAACTTTCTGCTGGACTCAAAAGAGGAAAGTCATCATAAAAGACTCCAGCGGGTATCCACAGCAGACGGTTGATCAAGAACCAAATGCAGCGGCTTATGCGATTAAACGCATAAACCGCTGCTGTGCTCCCAAACATCAAGCTGTTGGACAGGTAAAGCGCATCTCGCCCATCAGCCCCTCGCACTGCAATGACTGCCAGAGGACGACGCTGAGGATACACCGCCAATTGCTTGTAAGCCTTGCTCAAATCCAAGCACTTGCCCCTCCAATGTACCGCCTTGGAATGTGCTCGGCCCTCGCTGATCGCCTTTGCAACATGTAGAGCCATCGATGCAATGTAGTCAGAGTCCTGCAGACGCAAGTGGATGCTAGCAGAGTACCCTGCATTCAGCTGCGATTCCAAGCAATTGTCAATTGGCCGAGCCTTTTGTTCAGCTCCTTGGAAAAGGACAAATCTTCTTATAATGGTCCATTGATCGGTTCCCAGTTTGGCTGACACTTCACTTTTATCGTAGTATGGGCCCTCAAGAAAACCATGAGCCACCTCGCCATCGGTGGCCTCTTTCAGAGCTTCAGCTTCTCGAGGTTCAACCTTTTCAAACTTCTGCAACAAAGCCTCGCGCCTTTCTGCAGCCGTCTCAAAGAGTTCACCCTCGGTGAGTTGGGCAGGTACGAGTTTGCGGTCGAAGCACTCAGGGCACTCAGACGTGCCCACCAAACGGACCCCTTCCTTGAGAAAAGCAATGGCGCCCATGTCGTCATAGCCCTCAGCCTGCAAAAGAGACTCCAAAGCAAGAATGTTCTTGCCCTTCATCACCTTGTCAACTGCTGGATGCATTGAACTGTGCAGCTGCAGCTCCTTGTCTCGGTGGCGAGAAACTTCCTGCTTTACTTTTGCAATGGCCAGGTTTCTCTTGAGGGAAATCAATTTGGGATCCTTAGTGAGGTTCTCTTCAAGAGCACGAAGAGTCACATCTAGAAGAGGGTTTGCTGAATCCACCGGGTGTTTAACCTTCTTGGCTGACTCAACGAACTCCTCAGGACACCTTAAAACCCCAACCTGAACAAAGTCATCAAAGTTCCGATCCGCAACAGACTCCGGCTGGCCGCAAGGATTTACTGCCTCCGAGGTGGTCCCCCTCGAAGGGGTGCTACGGGGTTCAAGTTGGGATTCCGGATTTGAAGCTGGCCGCAGCACCTGAGAGCTACGGGGTTCGAGTTGGGATTCCGGCTTTGAAGCTTGCAGCAGCACCTGACCCCCTCTAGATGAGCGCAAAAGCTTCAAGTTGGGCTTGGGCACAAAACTCTTTGCTGGCTGCCAATGCACTGAGGCAAACTCGGACACAAGGGGAGGATGTCGCTTGTTTTGTTTGCCCAAGAATGCCAAAGACTGATCCTTAGTCGAGGGCTGAGGCACAAGATTGAACCCTAGTGCAAGCGCTTGGTTGGCCAAGCAACGAGCGTACCTCCCGGCCAAAATGGCTGGGTACGCCGCTTCATCGCGCGTGGCAAAGCGGACACTGCCGTATTCAATGAGTTGTCCCCAAGGTTTGTGCATGTGATTGCCGGGGCAAAAGGCCCTCAATGATTCGAAGCAAGCATGTGTGCAAAGAAGCTTGGTTCTTGTCGGGCGGAAACCTCCATGGCAACACTGATCAAAGGTAACTTCAGACAGACCTGACAAGAAGCTCAGGCCCTTGGCCTGAGGTTCGAAAGCTTGCAAGATGTTCCACAAATGGCTGTTTGCAGGATTTTCGATGCAAGCGATAATGTTGTTGGTCCTACAGAAATCCAAGATGCGATAGGCAAAGGAGTACAGTTTGTTTGCGGTCAGAACTCTCTGACCGTCAGCTGATTGCCAGTTGAGCGCAGGTAAACCCAGAGGGAAAGCCTTACTCCTAAGAGGTTGAGGCCCTAAAGCCCCGTTGCGGAGCGGTCTACCCCGCGCCTTGCTGCTGGTTCCACACGGCACTCCCATGTGGATTGCAAAAGGCCGATGCTTTGCCAAGAAATCCCAGAACCACGCCTGTCCGCTGTCACTCGCCAGGTCAAGTTGCAGCATGGGCACTTGGGCATCACAATGATGATGATCAAAGCTGTGCACCTCAAAGCCTAGCTGCCTCAGCGCTCGGGACAAAGCACCCTTGCCTGCAAACAGCTCCAGAACAACCGGAGGCTTCGAGGAAGCTTCAGAAGTTTGCAACGCACTAGGAACTTCAGGGGGCAGCACAAAGCCCAAATGCTGGGCTGAGGCAACATCACCTTTGTCAAAGGTGGCGAGCTGTTGCACCACCCAAGTTACAAGCACAAGTCTATGTCCTGTCCACGGCTCAGTCTGGTGGTATCGTGAGTATGCATCAAATATTAAAGGCTCGCTGCCAAGCTCGTGCACACAACCACTCAGTTCGGCACCGTTGCACACACGAACGTCGCTGCCTGCACCCTCAATCCAAAGTCCACCCTCCTTGAAACTAGTTAAACGGAAAACTGCATTGGGCCAATGTGCGTTTCTTTCATCTTTGTGGAGCGGCGTGGCCGAATCGGAGAAAATGCCGCAACTGGAGAAAACATGACCAGGAAGACGCTCCGAACAAAGCGGGTCACTAGCTGGCATGCAAAAGGAAATTCAGTACACTCTTTGCGCAATCCCCGGAAACCCCCCTGAGCATAACAGCCTACCAGGAAGGCGGTCTTTACATTCCGAGGACCTCTCCGAATCTCCCGTTCTGGGAGCATTTCAAAGAGGGTTGCAAGGTCTGCCTCAGTCACAGGGTTAGCTGATGCTAACCTCGCTTGTGCCCAGCCTTCTGGGCCACTCACACATGATTCACCTGTCTGCAATGCGCCTAGCAGCACTCCCCCAGAGGTCGGCGCAACCTCTGGCGGGGTTTCTCAAGCCCCAGCCTTAGGGCAGTTCCTATAAGAATGATTGCCGAAACAACCTTTCTTCCAGCACTTGTGGAAGCCCTTCATGCACCTGCCCTTCTTACACTGATTCTTGCAGCCATGCGTGTTGAAAGCGAAGCAAAGCGGCTGGTTCGAATCATCCTTAGTCACACAACCCTCCGGCAACTCCAGAGGGGTACGCGCTGCACCCTTGTTGCCCTTGCCGTCCTTGTCCTTACCTTTCCGGCCCCCTTTTCCATCAGGCTTCCACGGCTGTTGAACCGTAGGAGGAGTTTGCAAAGGGGCCAAATATTGCATGATGTCAGGGCTTCGGGACAAACGAGTTATTTCACTGTCAAGGGCCGGTGCCGCACCTGCCGAAGCCGTAAGCCTCCCCATCAGGTTGTTGCTTGCCAAAATGAACATCTGCTTGTCAGCTTCGATGATTTGCGACAGCTGGATGCTCATGAAACCCTTGGGTTGCGTTCGCTGCAAAACAGAAAACAGGAATTGCACATGCTCTTCCATAACCTTGAAGCTGGCCAGATTAGCAAGGTCGAAAGCAAGCGATCTCCGACTCCAGGCCTGCCTCAAACGCATCTCGGAAGAAACATCACAAGACAAATCGGTCGCCTTGGTTGCAATCTTCAAGTTGTTGTCAGAATCAATGTTGATGCTGCTGTCACGCTTCAAGCACTGTGCTTCCTGCGCCCTACTTATCCACTTGCTAGGTACATGGTACTGAAGAACCCCGGTCTCAAGCATTTCAACGCAAAGGTCCACACACGAGTTGGCCGGGCGAGTCTCGGGCGTGAACACCAAGCCACCTAAAGATTTCTCCTGACGCGCCTGTCGGTCGAGGCGCTCGGCTGAAGCAAGCTTCTTGGGATGTCCCTCTAAACCAGGTTCTCCAAGAGACCCTGCAAGGTCTCTTCAGTTAAGCCAACCTTCCTGGCTCGGTCAGCGAATGCTGCCTCGGAATCCAAATTGGCCGATGCCATACCGACGTCGGCTGCTAAGTTGTTTCTTATTCAATCAATGAACACCAGCAACATGAAGTTAAAACTTGAAATTTTGCTTGCAATGTTCACCTTGACATGCACAATCCTCTAGGACTTGCAAGGCACAACAGCCATGACTTGCGCTCCGAGCCATAGGACTTGCACTCACGGCCTAACGTCCTCACGACCTGCAGTCACTGCTGCACCTCTTGGTTGTTTCCCCCTCTCGGGCACCTCCTCCCAAGGTGCCCAGGGACTTAGAGTATCGCTCCTGATGAGAAGCAAAATGCATGTCTCGCTGCCCGTCTTCCGGACAACGCTCCCAGGCGCCCAGGGCTTCTGCAC